CGCGCTTGGGTTACCTGTGATATATTACGTCCCGTGCCTCGCGGGATACAGACTAGTCTGTGAGAAGGTATGAAACACTGTTCACGTGATGGATCGATGTGTGCACCAGGTACAGTGTCTATCCCTCCCTATCGTTTTTTTTCGTATGGACTTCGAGACCTTTCGTAAACGGTCGTCTCGCCGAACGTTAGACGAGAAATGATTCAGTGGGCATTTCCCTACRCAAAGAGAGAACGCAAAGGAAAGAGAAGGTGCTGTGTATATTTCAATATTGCAAGTGCGATGAAGACTAGTATATCGTGGGAAGATGTTTTGAATGTTTACACGCCTCCAAAGCCTAGTGAATCAATGATGACTTGGACAGTTATCAAGAAGGTTGACACTGAATTTATTGAATGGATGATAGTACCAAACGAGGAGCTTTGTGATGGTAAAGTAGTAATTAGAGAGCTACGTATAAGCAAGGACTTTTCGATAACGTTTTTCATTAGGTCGTGGCTAGATGGTATCCTTTGAAAGGGGGTTCGAGAAGAGACTGGTACCTAGATGACTGTTTCGGGACTTCGGAGACGAATCGGTTGGGAAACAAAGATGGCGGTCAAAACGTCGCAATGTATTTTTCTTTATTGACTACTGCAAAAGCATATCTTTATATTTTAGCATGTAATCGGAGGATAAATGCAAAAGTAATGGTTATAGCACCAATACAGTTTTCGAAGGTAAGATTTATAACATATAAATTAGAATGTTCGTATTATACAATACACTGCTCGAACGCATTCGTTTTTTTTTCATAAAAATATTACCGAATGCAAATGGTAAACAATAACATCAATAATAATCTCAATGAAAATTAAACCCTTTTTCCGCWCCTTAATCYAGTTATATTGCTATGGCCTATTGCTATGGGATCCTTTTGAAGGAGGAGGGGATCCTTTCAAAGGAGGTCAGGCGTATAGGGGTCCTGCTAAGGGCGCTTGGATAGCAAATTCAATTACTGAGAAACCTTGTCAAGGAGTCGTGCATCTGACGAATGTAGGTATCCTTCTAAAGTAGAAAAGGGAACTTAAACAGTGCTAGCAACATTTTAAAAAGGAGTTATCTTTAGAAAGGATGTAGATATCCTTCTAGAGGTAAGGGCACGTACTAGACAGTACAAGGGAACCATCTAAAGAAGGACTTTAAAGAATGAAGTACAGCATATTTGTAAAACAGGCAGCTCAGGAATTGTTTTAAAGCAGGCATGTAGATAGCCGGTCAGTTAAACAGTACTAGGGAACCATTCAAAGAAAGAGGTATCTTCTTAAAGAAGTAGGTATCTTTCTAAAGGAGGCAGGTATCCTTTTAGAGGATGTAGGGCAGTTAA